ATTTACTCAGCATCTCCCTACTTTCCATCATAACATCCAAAGTTTCTGGGATCAAATTAAATTTCCTCTTTCACTCAATTGGCTAATTGATGGTTTTATATTCAGTCTTGAATGAGGGAGGAAATGAGAGTCCCCTTCGTTGAGCCTGTTTTTCTCCCCCACTTGAGGGCTGAATTGTTTTGGAAGTTGTCATCTTACACTGTTCACCAGACCTACTTGAATCAATTTGGATACCCGAGTCTAGTGTCTGGGGTTGAGATTATTAGGATTTCATGAGTATTTTGGTTAACCAACAACTTCGGGCGCTGGGAATCCTGGTGGATTGTAGGTGCATTCAAGAGGCAGAATTGCAGTGGGTTGGGACGGGAATCTCGAGTATGCTGGTTTACAGATGTAGTTCGGGTATTTTTCTGGCTGCTGATTGATTTCTATTATTTATGTCAGGAGCATTGCGAGCTTGATGCATTGTTAGAAAGAAAATACGACTTCATGGACAGTTGCACGGAGAGAAATATTCAATAAAAATTACGTATCTTTCCGTAATTCCGGAGCGAAATGTGGTTGTAGGAAATTTTACGGAACTGTCACGAAATTTTTCCGGAGCGTTCCGTAATTTTTATCTGAATCTCTTGCGAAAAATTACGATACCGTCACTTAAATTTTCTGAGTCGATTTCGTAATCAGTGAGTGAAGTGAGAGTTCCGTAATTTTTACTGAATATTTCTCTCCGTGTGGCAATTAATTTTCAGGACAGTGATAGTGAATGCGATTTAGAGGGCAAATATCATGAAATTTTAAGTTCTACTGAAAATTCGGTAAAATTCCAGAATTTTAAACAACGTATGAACGAGAATTCGTTAATTAATTTGAATTTCCTATCTAATATGAATATTCGGTGTCAAATGACAGTGAATTTTCAGGGAAATCTGCAGTTTCATGATTTTTGTCGATCTGAATCGCATTCGGGGTCACTGTCCTGAAAATTCAAGAATATATTTACCGGTGTTTGTTGGTTTTCTATTCATTTTCAGGGAACAATGGCACAGAAATTAACAGTTCTCTTTGATTTTTATACAAAATTCTGAATTTTCAATGACGAAATTCCTTGAAATTTCAATGGTAATTAAATTCGATAAATTTCTGAAAAGTGTACCGGAAATTTCAGACAAAAATTTTTAAGAGTGTGACAACAATTTTATCTGTTTGAGAAGTTGTCGAGATTAAATGTGGAAAAACCTGTCATTGAGAAGATGCGGAGAAGAAGGCACGGAGAAAAAACAAGATTTGATCTTCTGGAAGATATCACTAATTTTGAAGGACCTATACGGAGAGCATATAAAACCAAAAAGTACTATGTGCACATAGTAATCGAGGATTATACCGGAAAAACTTTAAAATTTCATTTATTTGCGAACGTTTGCGATGTGAAATTTATTTCTTATGTTTTAGCGCCTCCTACATTCTACTCGAGAAAACAGCAGAAAATACTATGTTGACTAGTAAAAACTCCAGTGTACAACGAGAGCCTCGATGCAATTTTCAAATTATTTCAGTAATTTTCCTCCAAAAGTAAACTTTCTAATTTTTCAATATCGAGATTTAAATTAAAACCTGCAAAGTTCAAATAATAAAATCATTGTAAAATGAAGGAGAAAAAATAGACATAGTACTTGGATATCGTTAATGAAAAAAATTAGAATATTCGTAAATTTCGAAAAATCAATCTACATTATTTCATAATAAACAACAAAAATTCTCGATATGCATGGCGAACTTTGATAGAATTTTTATCAATTTCGAAATCAATCCCACAAAAAATTCTAGCTCTGCATTACGTAAAACTTCATCCCGAAATTCCCTCAAAAAAAAATCAAGATCCTTCCCCCCGCGCTGCTACATCCCGAAGGCACTCAGACTTACCCCCTCTCCCAGAACCACCCACTCACCCTAGAAAGCCAAGAAGCCAAGGGCCCGGCATCTTCGAGCTTTTGCTTTGGAACATTGGCATTCTTGGGAACCAATTTTCCCACTCTAATTTCCAACGGATTATCCGGTGTAAACGGACCAGAGGTGTGCATTCAGACCAGTAGTGCAACGAGCTAGTTAACCTAACAGGGAGTGCTGGCTAGAATCCAGGGTCGTTGCATATGTAAATACATTCTTATCCAAGAGTGCAAAGGTCTGAGTAACGCTGTACGATTGTGTCTGTGATGTCTACGTTTACATGTCTAGATTCATACACCATTGGGGGTTGGGGTCGAGGGGGGATAGGTTCATTGTGTGTGGAGGTGAGCCGCTCAGCCACCTGGATTTTAGCTTCCAACCTATAACCCACCTAAGGCTGCCTACGTATTATCCAACATCTACTTAGAAGTACGAACCACTCCTCCCATCCACTCGTGACTCTCGTTCGTGGAATTTCACGGTACGTCGAGCCCCTTCTCGTTTAACGTTCGCTTTGGTCCCAGGGCTTTTTTTTCCACCCTTCCGTTCCTTCACAGTGTTTTCAACGGGGCTGAGACTTTTTATGCGCTTCTTTCTTCTCTCTTTTGTAATTAGGGGCTGTTGGAGGCATTTGATTTTTTTCGAGCGCTGTCCTGAGGATCGTAGTCCTGTCTGTTTTTTTAATCTCGCTAGTTTAATTGGGAGAAAATAGTATGTTTCCGCACTCGTGCGTAAAGTGAAATTTTACGGGTGCTCCGCGTGCGCAAAATCGCGCTTTCCACACATTGTTATGTAGGACAAAAAAATATCCACGAATCGGGTACACTGGCAAAATTTCTTTGACATTTCGCGGAAGATATTATAGTAAATCTGATGAGAGTGACATTGAATCGAATTTAGGGAAAAAATGGTTATGAAATTTCAAGTTTTGAGTAGAATTCACGGAAATTCGTCAATTTTCAGTGGAAGTGGGACGGAAGTTTCACAATTTGATTGAATTTTCAGTGAAACATGAATATTTAAAAACAAAATGACATAAATTTTTAATTTTTCCCTGAATTTTCCGGATTTTTCACAGAGTAATTAAACTGAAAGATCAAGTGTTCTATTGATTTCCTATATTTTCTAAGTTATTCTATTGATTGTCAAGTCATTCGAACAGGAAATCAATGGAATATTTAATTTGTCAATGACAAGATTTCCTGAAATTTTAGTGGAACTTGAACACGATAAAAATTTCCGGAATTCGTCACACAAAATTTAGACGAAAATTCTTAACAGTGTTTATAATATTCCGAAAACCGAAATATTTAATTCTTAATTCCAGAATAATAATATTCCGGAATCCGGAATATTTTATCCTCAATTCCGGAATAATATTTCGAATAAGTACGGACGACGCGCCGTCCAAATTTAAGTGAATCTAAGTAAATGAATAATATTTTTTTATTTAATTCATAATTCAGCAGTGGTCAAACGGTTTCAGTCAATTCCCTTCTAGCGCCAGATCTCAATAAATATCTCAAATTCTAAAGGAGTCAGCAAAATTTTTCTAAAAATCTTTTTTGTAAGAAAAAGTGAAGACTATCGAAAAAGATCTTACAAAAATTTCGCTACCTTTCTTAAATTCCGAGTTATTCAAAAAAAAAAACTCAACTGAGAGCTAAGTCGACTTGAACCGATTGACCAATTCCCTACTAAATTTTAAGTAAATTAAATTACGATATATGGAAATTGTAAATACATTGATGATTGCTACTCAAAAAATAGTAATCATCATGATTGATTCAATCGAGTTCTGAAGGTTTCACTGTGTTATATACCAATACCAAAATCCTGTCTCCACATTCATTTTGATAGAAATATCGAACAACCTTCGCGGCGTAACGGAAACCTGCTTGTTCTTCAAATACTCCAACCAATTTCCTTCAAAAAGTTTTCAATATTTTCCAAAACCAAAGCATATTGACCTTTAGAAGGCTTCGATGAAGATCAATCTGCTTTGGTTTTCAAAAATATTAATAACTTTTCATAGAAAACTAGTTTAAAAAATTTCACGGAATCAAAGACCTTCTCTTACCCCTTAATTCCGTTATCGCAAGTGGATGAAACATGCTACTTTCTAATCTCAACAAATTATGTCCACGATATCGGCCAGTTTTTCCCTCTACCCTATGCCAAGAAACTTCTCTCCCCAACATAGTGGGTTTTCATCTACCAATTTGCTTTTGGGTCATGTCGAAAAAGAATCCTCAAACCTAAAAGCTAGCACATCCCAGAAAGTACGAGGAGGTATCAAAACTACGGTCTAAGTAAGTAGGTGTGCTCTTGAGTGCAGACGTGAGTCGTTTCGCATGTCAGGAGTAGGTCGACTCTGTCGGTATCTGGTAGAAGGGTAAAGAGCATGGGTGAAGAAGACCGGGTGTATGCACTCGAAAAAGATACTCAAAGACTTTCCAACTTTTAGGCGCTTGTTTCGTGCCAAAACGAAACTTTTCACCTCCAACAAATCGTTGTTTTTTTCCTCTCTCTCTCTCTTTCTTTTCAACTCCCTCTCTCCCGGCGTCTCTGTCCCCACCCTGGAGATAATATATTCCGAATGAAATGCCGAGGATGTTAATGCCATTCCTATTACCATCCACCTAATTTAATTCAACATTTACCCGTGTTAATTTAGCCCGATGATTTGTCTGTATGCGTGACAAAAGCAGAAACTGAACATATCCAATGGATCTGCCACAAGGCACACCCCAAGTAATTGGATTTGCATGTAAACTCAGGGATGACATATTCTCAACGAATGCGAATTGCAGGGAGCGGGTGGGGGAGGAAAGCGACATGAAAACGGGGTTGCGGGTATAACGTTTCACGTCGGGATGCTATCCCAAGTTATATGGAGAATGCCAGGTTGGATGACCAGCTGACAACTCTATCAGCGAAATGTTCACTGGGATTACCGCAGTCGACTGTTTTCAGTCCATTGAAATATTATAACGAAATGGAGGTTCTGGGGGAATTATTTGTATTTACATTTTGATGGTGGTTTTACTACTTACTCAGACTGAAGCCGGATTCCTTGACGTGGATGACCACCATCGGCATCAGGACCATCACGATGAGGTTGACTACGTGGAACACCATGCCCGGTCCGTGTGCTATGATGTCCTGGAAATGTGGAATTCTTAGGAGTTTTTTTGGTTGAATTGACGATAGTGGTTCGAGGAACTGACCCTCGTCGTCAGCACGATTTTTAGTTTTTTTTTAAGGTTTTGGAATTTTTTGTTGGAAAGGAATATTGAGGAATATTGGGGAATGTATGAGAAATTTTCGCTCATTCTGAGAGAATTTTTCTAAGAAGCAGACAACAAAGTTCTAGTTCTCAATCATTTTTGCTTAAAAAAATTATTGCAGAGAAATTATGCTGTAGAATTGATAGAACACACGAAACTTGAGGTAAACATATTCTTAAATTTTCACTAATTGAAAACGCAGCGTAATTTGGTACTGAATATTCATGTTTTCATTGAAAATGGAAGTTTAATTGGAAAATTCATATTTTTCTACTACTCAAAAAAATTAGAATTCATGTTGAATCTAATTCAACCTCGTCCTCTTGAGAATTACTTGTGAACTGTCCACGAAATTTCAATTTTTTTTTCTAGTACAGCACACTGGTAAAAACTTGTAGCCGAAATTTCCGGTGCACTTCTTGTAAATTTTTATCACACCATAGTTCCACTGGAATTTCAAGGAATTTCGCCATTAAAAATTTAAATATTGATAAAAAATCAATAGATACCGCAAATTTTAGTTCAATTATTTCATAAAAATTAATGGAGATCATAAAAACTCAACAAAATTCGACTAAATCGGCTATGTTACTTAGCTCTTCGATGAGTTTTCGAAGAATATCTCCGAATCTGTGGGAGTTGACGAAATTTTTGCAATAACTTATTTGTAGAGAAAATCAAGAGCAACAAAAAAAGTTATAACAGAAATTTTGCTATCTGCCGTAGATTCCGAGATATGCATTAAAAATTGACCAATAGTCAAAGTTGACTTGTACCGTTTTACCGCTTCGCTACTGAATATTCATATTTCAATAAAAAATTCAAGTAAGTTCAGTAATTCTCGTCTTCCTGCTGCTCAAAAATTTATAATTCCCTCTCATTTCCAGTGAAATCTACAATTTTATGACAGCATCTCCTGACAATTACCAGTGAACTGTCCATAAAATTTCAATATTTCTCAAACCCAGAAGTCCAACTCATCACATAATGAGGGAAACAGTCTCCAACGAAGAGACATTTTACGAAGCAAGCTATCCAAAAGACATTTCCTCTCAATAACGAAATGATTAAAATCCCATCGCGTTCATTGAACCGCGCCACATCTCATAATAAAACGAATCGCCTCTTCACAATATCTAGCTCAAATCCATAAATTTCACTGAATCTTCACATTCCAGAAATGTACCCAGCACATCCAAATTACATTATCAAACATTTACAACGACCTTCTCCGTCTCCATTCAACACAGGCGAGATAACAGGAATTGTTGGCAGTCTACTGCTAATTGCATAGCTGAAATATTCATGTGCATCCCATTTGCAGTGGCTAATAGTAGCCCCTATGAATTGGAGATATTGATCAAGAATCTTGAAGGATTTCAAGATTTAGTGCCTGGAGGAGAATAACCGAGAATAAATGGCAATTTCCTCTCGGGTTATGCCGGCCATAGTCACAACTTTATGAAATTATAGCGCAGTTATGAATATACACGGTCAAATACCCGGTAAATGTGATGAATTATTCACTTCCACTTGTAAAAATAACTCGGAGGTAATCTTTGTTGAGACTGCGCTATCAAAATGAATCAACGTGGTATAATCCAGTTAGTTAATTCCAATCTCTGGACCGTACGAAATTTCTCGCGCCGACTATACCATCCTTTTTCAAATCCTCTCTACATTCTCAGGAATATTTTTTACCCGGATTAACATGGTTCCCACGTTTCTGGATGCGTCCAGGGAGAGTAAAATTATTTCCATTGTACTCAAATCTCACTAATTGATTAAACTCTTATGATTACGGATAGAATCGTCTCAGCGATTTTCCTCTGAATTCTGTTTTATGTCGCACGGAAATGTACACATTGGATTAACATCGGTGCCACGCGGAGGAAAAAAGTGAAAAAAATCGTCAAATGAATCAGGCAATCGCGAAGCGGAATTCGTATTTTTATTTTTATTTTTTTCTTTATATTGTGTTTTATTTTTATTTTACTTTTTGCTTCTCAATGGGGGCATTCACGTATGAAAAAATCGTATAGAAAGTTTCTATACGATTTGCGTATAGAATTTCTATAGGTTTTTCGTATATGATATTCGGATATTTCTATACAAAAATTCCCTATACGGATTATTTCTATACGAATTCGTGTAGAAATTCGTATAGAAATGAACCGTATAGGAAATTTTCGTATAGAAATATCCGAATATCATATACGAAAAACCTATAGAAATGCTATACACCGTCCGTGTAGAAAGATTCTATACGATTTTTTCCTACGTGTTGTATTCGTCAAATTCGAAAGTTTCAATTTTTTTGGGTCAGCATAACTAATTTTGACCTCAGGAGTTCAAATATGGTATTTTTATCGTCTTTCGACGTGAGATTGATTCCATGATTTATAGTTGAAAAAATTTATTTTGAAATTAATATTCGGGGATAGATAACAAAAGTTTAGCGTTGGGGCAATGTTGGCTACCAATACTGAGGCAATGTTGAATTCCCAGAATCATTAAATTCAATTTAAAATACATCATCAAAGAAATTCCATTCGGAAAAAAATTGGTAATTTTTTAACAAAAATATATTGATTATACTGTGACGAAAGCAATTTCCCGCTCATTTATTCTTGTATTTTTATTCATTTTTTATTAAAAAAAAAATTATTAACCTACATTTCGCCTCACGATGACCTTTTCTATAATCAAATTTGCTGAGATTTTCTGGATAATTTCCTTCCAACTTTTCTCTCCCTGCACATTTCTAAATGTATCGGGGGAATCAAATTGTTCCCATTATGCTCACATCTCACTAATTGATTAAACTCTTATGATTACGGATAGAATCGTTTCCGAGATTTTCCCGTGAATTCTGTTTTATGTCACTGAAGCGTCGACACATAGTCACAGGGTAACACACAGAGTTATACCGGGGTCCCTACGTGTAATGCTCTTTACAAGTTGCGCACCAATTTCACGAGAGTAAGCAAGTGGCACACTTGAGTTCTGGGAGTCAATCGTACTTAAATGAAGTGCTCACTCGAATTCACACGGCTTCAGCAGGAACTCGAGGAGAAATCTTTCGAATGGGATTAATCATGTTAATTTTACTTTGATGTTGCTTTTTTAATTTGTCAGGATGTCATGTGCACCCGGGGAAAAGATGTTTTTGAGATAAATCAAGAAATTATTTTATATTTCTTCTTGTTTTTTATGCATTACCGGCATGAATCATTTATTTTATTTCATTCAACGATTTCCTTTTTCATGTTTTACGGAAATATTTTCGATTTAGATATCTTTAGAATTCCAATGACTTTGGATAAAGATGATTTTATGATCGTAATGACTATGAATTGAGGGATTGAAGAAAAATTACTGATTTCAAGTAAATATGTTTCAGATATTAGAATTTTTTCTCAGTGCACTGTAATGTTCCATGAATTTCTGATTAATTTCCCCTCAATTCTTCTTTGAATTGAAATTTTATGGACATTTAACTGATAATTTTCAGCAGAGCATCATTGGATTCACCTTAGAAAGGGAAAAAATCATAAAGCTTCATAAAAAATTGAATGGAATCTTAAATTTTTGAAGCGAAAAACGTGAATGGTCCAATTTCTTGGAATTTTCAATCGAAACCTGAATATTTAGTACCAGATCACTCTAAAGTTTCAATGACTTGAATTTTCCCGATTTCTATTAATTTTTACGGAATAATTAACCTGAAAATTACACATTCCATCGATTGTCGTCATCAAACGGTGATTTCTCAGTGACGAAGCTGAGATTCAAGTGAATCAATCACACGGAAAGAGATGTTCAATAAAAATTACGGAACTCACAATTCGCTCACCGAGTACGGAATCCACTCAGAAAAATTAAGTGACGGTATCGTAATTTTTCACAGGAGATTCAGATAAAAATTACGGAACGCTCTGGAAAAATTCCGTGACAGTTCCATAAAATTCCCTACAACCACATTTCGCTCCGGAATTACGAAAAAGATACGTAATTTTTATCGAATATTTCTCTCCCTGCACTTTATAAATATTTCAACACTAGGGGGCTTCGCCCCCCCGCTCGCTTCGCTCGCTCCCCCCCAATCCAACTGTCAGCCCCCCCACCGCGTTTGACCCTGGGACATCCTCCTCCCTTCGTCTGAATTTTTGCGTCGCCTGAATTGTCTTAAATTTTGCCCTTATTTTTTTATTATATAGAGAGAAACTGTAGCCAAAATTTCAGGCAAAAATATTTGATAATGTATTCATCTGCGTCACTGAAAAACTACTCAATTCAATAAAACAGTAGCGCTGGAATATCAACCGCAGTGGATGCCACCCCACGACACGGACAGTGATTCACCCCAAAAGCGCCGTCACCATGAATTATCAAACTCCGCGCATAATATATGAGCCTGCATTATTCATCATATCCGAAGTGTTGAAAGCTCCAGTTCATGATTTTACAGAAGTCGTTCAAATGACTCGACGCTCATGTTTCCAGTGCCCCATTCCAGCAACGTTTTTACTCGGAAAACTATTTGCCAAGATTACGCTCAGCTGCACCCAGAGTCCGATAGCACGCTCAGTTAGACGTATATAAAATATAGGGATAAAATCACGATGTCGTGCAACATTGACCATCTGAGACACAACTTTTTTCCAAAACATTTTTCCTACTCCTGTATTTTTCCTCTGTGAGAATTTATATCAAGCGATATCGGAAAAGGTTCCCCATTGGTGATACTGGAATCCCTACAGCGATAGTTTGACTTCAACGATTTCACGATTTTTCCGGTATTATTGTTGACTCGAGAAAACGCACGTACACTGAGAGAAAAAATTTACTCGGCCGAAAAACTATGTTCCACGTGAGAATATTTGATGAAGTGGAACAGATTTACATGAGGGAAATTAACCACAATGTTACAAATTTCTTGAAATTTCAGTCACAACGTCATCTGAATTTTCAATGTTGTGAGTTTGAATTCAATTCCAGACGAAAGCGTTCACAAAAATTCTCATTTGTCTTGAAAATTCAAGAAAATCGGATTTTTCATGCAATAATTGACCTGAACGTCAGCGCTTCCCCTGATTTTTTCATTCAGTTATGAATTTTCACTGAATATTGAATTGAGCAAATTAAAATTCCTTCAGATGACCGTTAATGGCTGAGAAGTTGAGAGTTTTTTAAAGATGAACGGAAACGCTTGGAATAATTACGGTGGTCTGTTTTCAAGAAATATCTCGGAATCTAGAGTAAATAGCAAAATTTTGTCAAAACCTTTTTTGTAGAGCGAATTAAGAGCTACAAGAAACGTTATTACGAAAATTTTGCTATCTATCTTAGATTCGGAGATATTCTTCGAAGAATCAGCTGACCTAAATCGACTTAAATCGTTTTGCCGCTTCGCTACTGAATTATGGGTCAACAGTCCACGAAATTCCAATTTTTTTCCAACAGTGTGCTTTCTAGAACCACGAGTTTCTCAAATTGAAGAAATTAGAATTTTTGTCCAATCCGATTCAATTTATTTTCATATTTACCAATGAGAGTCCTTTCTCGATCAGGAGACAGAGAGCCACCGGCACTACCGAGTCTGAAACGAGAAAAAGAGAAATATAAAAAATGTTGAACAGCCACTGAAGCATAAAAATGAGAAGTATGAATTGCAACTCGCAATCAACTTTCATTCAATTGCCGAGAAAATGAATGATTAACCGTTGGAATTGCTCTGTGGATTTGTAATGAGCCATTACCTCACCACAAACGCTCACTAAAGTAGATTATGTTATTCCAAAGTACCAAAGAAGATTGGTTGGTGCAGTCGACTAAAGCGGATGCCGTCCGTAATTGGCGAAGTCCTCTAACCCTTGTGAGCGGAAAGCCCTACAGAAATTCTCAAGCCTCACAGGGGAAGGAACGTCGGGGATGAAAAGTATGAGAAAAAAAATTATGCGAAAAGTAGAACGTGCTTGTAACCGAGGATGCGTAATTAACTGGTTTCTCGTGCACCTCCACAACTCTCTTACTTGCACCTAAACCGCAGTGTGGCTACCCTGGCAATCAAGAGACTCCTCGAGAGGGCGGCGAACACTTTTCTTGCAAAGTGACTTACATCAAAGGGTGAAATTATTTTCAATCAAACAAACAATACGGGGATTTAGGGATTTTTTGCTTCCGAACGAAAGCGTTGATGTGTTCGTCAAATCCGAAATTATAATTAATTTTGGCCTCAAGAGGGCGAATACACTGAGGAACAAATTACTTTGGCCATGGAATTTTCTTGGGGGAAGAATTAATTTTTTTTATTAGCGTTTTTCTCCAGGCCAGTTATTCCCAGGTTATTATTAATAATTTTAATAATTAATAATGTTCATCTTAATCGTAATCTTAATAATTTTAATAATTATTTTTGTTATTATTAATTATGAGATTTTTTATGTAAAATAATTTGGAATAATTCTAAATGTTAATAATCATCAAAGGAGTTTATTGTTGGTTAATTTCTCTCAAGTAAATCTGTTCCACTCCATCAAATATTCTTACGTGGAACATATAACTTTTCGGCAGAGCTAATTGTTTCTCTCGTGTTTTCACTTGAATTTTCATGATTTTTATTGATTTTCATGGAATAATTAAATTGAAATTTTGTCAACAGTGTTGACAATTTCCACTGATTTTTCATAAAATTTTGAATTTTCAATGACAAAATTCCTTGAAGTTTTATTGAAACTAAACCATGACAAAAATTTATTCATTCATAAATTGCTGAATTTAATGCGCCGATGAAATTAATCGCAATTGCAGTCTCCAATCGCTTTTATCACTCGTCGGACAGTATACGTACCGTCTTGAATGTTTATGATTTCTATTGATTTTTACGGCGTAATTAAATTGAAATTTTGTCAACAGTGTTGACAATTGCCACTGATTTTTCATAAACTTTTGAATTTTCAATGACAAAATTCCTTGAAGTTTTATTGAAACTAAACCACGACAAAAATTTATTCATTCATAAATTGCTGAATTTAAT